AAACTGAATTCTTTCAGTAAGAGAAAAGTTATAAGTGTATGGAAAATTAAGAAAAAGCATTGTACTAATATCAGCCATCAACAATCACTCAATATTTGAGAATACAAGCAATTATGATCAGCTGTCTTGGTCATAATCCAATGGATAACTGAGGCTCAAGAAGACAATAAAAAGGGAGAGGTGAAAAGAAAAGAAATATGGTCCTCTCATATGTCTCTGACATACTCTATCACCTAGCAAGTCATGGCACCAGGTTGGAATGGAATTTCTGCCCCTCAAATTGCAAGGCATTTGCTTTGTAACCATCCTTTCTGTTGATCCACGACAAGCACTTTTATCAAGGACAGTTCATTGCAGACATATCATAAGCCCTTTGCTCGATCCACGATATTATAGGAAATGCAGATCCTTGCACTTTCATAGCAAGGCACCTGCTTGCAGACAAGCATGAAAGCGAGGTGGAAAAATGCAGAGAAAGGAATGGGGTGCCTAAGTTCCTGATTGCTATCGACTGAAAAAAAGGAAGGGAGGGGAATGGGTCACTGTCATTTTCCACTTTTTTTTAGCTGCACTCCTCATGTGTAAATTCCATTTTCATAAGCATTGCACAAGAATACATTTAAAATATTTATAGGGATCCAAAACTGCTCTAAATAACTTTTCACTGAAAAGCAACTAAAAGGTAACAATGTGATCTGCAAAGCTGCAAAGGTGTGGCATACACAAAAAAAGTGGCTCACTGTTAATATCTGATTTTGTTACTAGTTGAAATGGGATACATAACAAGTGCATTTTTTAACTTTCATATACCAATGCCTTGCTTGGGTTCAAGCACATGAATTCATCAAAACTTCTGTAATGCCTTCATGACAAGGAGAGTGTAACAAAAAAGTGTCTGTGGCAAAACTGCTTTTTAAAAAACATACATGCAACTTCATGTCTGCAAGAGACTGTCCATGACCTGCTGTCTCATGACAAACACACTGGGAACCCTGTTGCGCTTGCAGTACTTCATAGAGAAAATGAACACTCCAGTAATGTTTAGTTATCTTGAGTTTTCAATAAATTTTTAGTTAATTTCTTATTACTTCTTGTCATTACATGAATATTAAAAGCTACTTAAAGTGTAATGTACTTTCAAGCTAAGAACCTGCCCAACCCAGGGTTAAGAGAAGCAACAGAGAGCCAAAAAGAACTCTCCCTGCTCGATGGGTTTACATGTATTGGGGCACAAAACAAAGTTGATGTAGCAATAAGTACTGTATTTTAGTGAATAAAAGGTAATGTCCTTTTTTTGGAAATAAGCTAGGATAACATATACCCCATGTTTAAAAAAAAAACAGTGCAAATAATTTTTTTTTGTTAATAATGACTGCACTTTTCAACAAATCCATGCAATTTTTCAAATACTGCATGTGAATAGAGTAAAAAAAAGTAATTACCAATTCTAAAGAAAATTGAGGCATTGTATCATGTTCTATGCCAATTCAAACCATTTACTTCCTTTCTGGATGTAGCAAATAAATTTGGGCAGTTGTCTCATATTCAGGCAAATATGGTGCTTTGTGAATGAATGACTGACAGTACATTGAAAAATCCAAAAAAAGGGTGTATAGAACAATGATTTTAAATTGTGCATTGATAAGCGTTAACAACAGTTGATGAATATCATTAATGCAGGCAGGTACCTTGCAACAGACTGCAACATTCAGTATCTATTGGTCCATCCCTATGAAAACTTGTAACCATTAATCAAACACCAGCAAACTAGATGTGATGAAGGAGATCAATCACTTCAGACATGTTTGAATCAAATGAATGAAGAACAAGAGTCACAAACTTGAACTTTAGGAGTACTTCTTTTGAAGCTGCATGAGCACAGAATGCAACAGTTTGGCAAAGTGCCTCAAATGTACCCAAAAATGCACTAGAGACAAGACAGCACTAAGAGCAAAAGCTCAACCTGAATGCTGACTCATTCATTTTTTAATAATACTGTTGTATATAATGGAAAGCCTAGACCTGCCTATGTTATTGAGGCCTAAAATGAGCAGGAATGGTAAATCTCATATGTCCTGGAGACACTTCTGACTTGAACACAATGTTGAGAGGTATTCTTTGACAATAGTGGCATGAAAGGGAAGTCTTGAGGCAGGGAAAAGTCCCTCCATGAAAGCAATGTGTCCTCCCCATGCTGTTGTGACCAAGGCAATGTGGGATGATGTTCCTGCTTCATCTATTGGAATACCTACAAACATAGAATACAATTTGTTCCATTGTAATTCTTCACTGCTGATTACTCATTCCTTTCTTTTCTTTTTTTTTGTTCCATGTAAGGGAGGTTATAAAGTCCTGTGGGGTGTTTGCAATGCTGTAGTGACCAAAGTAGATGGAGTTGGATCACCAACCTAGCAGGGTGCATTGATAATGACATGGGAAGGCCATTTGCATAATAAAGGTCGAGATGGCACTATTATCTTCACAGGTTGCAGCACCATCACTTGGATCTCTGGATTGTACAGGGCTCATGAAGGGCACCTGTTTCGGTCTGATATGCATGGAGAGCTTGCTCAGATTTGCATCTGTTACAATAATAATGCCTTACAAGGCTAGCACTTTGCTGGGGAGTCATGAATTCCCTACTCTCTTTGGAATGTGTCCAGGCCAGATGGCCTGGCTTTATATTGCATAGCAGGTAATGGTGCTGCCACCTGGGATGATAGTGATCTCGACTTTTATGATGCAAATGGCCTCCTCATGTATCTGTGCACCCTGCAAGTTTGGCAATCCAACAGCATCTACTTTGGTCACTACAGCATTGAAAACCCCCCACAGGAATTTACAGCATGGGCCATAAACATTCATACCACTTGTAACTTTTTTATTTCTGTACACCTTAAAACAGCAAATGAAAAGAGTTGTGTACCTCTATGTAAGTGTCTCTTTGGTAGTGAACCTTGGCTGTTTTAACATGAATCATTCTTCACCTAGAAATGACTTGAGGTTCAAAAAATTTTCTGGCTGACCATAAGAAAGAAAATATGAAAAAATATGAATGATCCCCATACAACTCTGACTGTAACCAAACTAATTACTGTATGCAAAGTCTGCTGGAAGCATGTGCCCATAAACAAAATCCAGTGACCTGAACAAGTCAAGGTTTGTGCCAAAAGATGAGTGAAACCAAGTTTGTCTGGTGCAATCACCTGACTGACTCAAAGAATCCAGGTTGCTGTCAAGAAGGACAGGGACACATCGAACATATGTTGTGAACAGTTACTGATTACAAGATAAGTTATTAGTACAGGAAATACAAGACTTCGATTTGGTGTGAATATTTATGGCCCACTCTGTATAACCTCCCTGTAAATTTATTTATACTGTTCACTCCCCAAGAAATTATGAAAACTTTGAAACGTCATTACCTTGGAGAGGCAAGAAGGGATCATCCTCGGCACTGATGCCAAGTACAGGGATGCGAATGCGGCAAAGCTTGGGCCGCAAAGATGCAGCCTTGTAGTATTCATCCACTGAGGCAAAGCCAAATTGAGGAGCTGTGAAGTTGGCATCAAATTCCTTGATGAGTCTGCTGGACAGGACCTTCTTAGAGTCCCAACCATGAGCTTCAAATATTTCCTGCTCTCTGAAATATTAAGATGCCTGAGAGATGGTAAAAAGGTAGCAGGGAAAAATATCAATATGGTGGCCCAGTGAAAGACATACAGTTGAAATGCAACACATTTTTCACTTCTGTGCAAGGTGACACTCTGGAAATGAAACGAACATAGCCAACTCTCATAAATCCAGAGCTCCCATTCACTCTGTCATGAGGAATGGTCCAAGCTAAAGTCCCATACAACTTGTGAAATTCTCCCATTAATGCAAACACCACAATTCTATAACTCCTGTTTACATGGATGAATTCTCTAATCCCTTGGGACATTCTCCCCATTAATAGGGGCTTGCTGGCAAAATAAACAAAATATTAAAAAAAAGATTTCTGTGTCCCCTTTCCAACATCTCCAACCCTCCCTCACCCCCCCTGAAATAAATGTAAGAGAAAAAGAAACTCTCATCTCATTCAGTTTCCCACCTTCCTTTGAATAGTGATTGCTCTCTTGAGAGACTTAGAGAAACTCTTTGTAAAGATCTCAGTCATCCTGGAGTTGGTCATTTGTCCATAGCTCTTGCTCTGTTTCATATACAAAGTTTTTAATCCATTTTCATACCAATTGCAAATTGCTGCACACAGGTGGCAAAACACCTTGTCTTCTCATCTCATTGCAGGAAGGGTATGAAATAGTATGTAATGCATAGGAATCAATATGAAAGGGGTGCAAAACATTTTGCCACAAGTGCTTAGCATTCTGCCTAGTGTATGAATCTCACTGAGAAACACTGTACAGGGAAAATACAGGATTTGAAAAGACTATAATTCCTCCAACTAGATACTTATATCCTTGATTTTTATATTAGAGTATTCTTTGAAATTTGAAGTTTTAGGGAATTTCTACTTGCTGGCCCCAGACATTGATACATTTTAGAATGAATGCTGCATCCAGTTTGTTTGACTTTCTCAAATCAATTATTGATGATTCTCTGATTAGGCAGTGTTTCCTTGAAGAAATGGCAAGACTCATGCAAAACTTTTACTGCAGATTCACACTTAGCAAATCCTAGCACTCACTAAACAAGTAAAAAATTGCCATATGCACAACAATCCTGGTCTAATGTGAACTGCCACCTGTTGGCTTACTGTGGTATCTACTAGTATTGGCAGATATTGACAACAACTACCTGTGAAAAATATTCAACTTAAAAAAAAAAAAACAAATGTACCAGATTGCCAATGAACTATAATTCTCAAGTTGAAAAAGGTGTAGCCACTTCAAGTTTTATGTTTTCAATCCTACATCTCATAAATTTATTTTTGACTTTTTGGTTATCTCGAGCACTCATTCTTCCAAGTGGCTACAATTCCAGAGGTTCTTCGTACTATTTCAAGGATCATATGATGAACAGGACCTTAGATACATGTTGCATAGTGCTTTTGCCAGATGCTGGTTGAGAGCACGGTTCATCCAAGGCTTCTGAAGGCTTTCAGAGCTGATGAAGACATCCCATGGTGCAGAGATGATTACTGCAGTGGTGAGGGGTGTATTCTCCCCTGCCACACACAAGTAGTTACCCAGGATGAGGCCTCCAAGGGAAACGCCAAGGGCAGCCAAAGGGGATTCTGGATGCTTCTTTACCACATGATCCAGAACCTCCTTGAAGTCCTCAAAGTTAGCAGCACAGTAGGTGCGTGGCGTCTGCACAAAATATGACCTCATGAATCAAGCAGAAACTGCCTGGACTATTTTTTACTGAGAACATCATTACAGAGCAGTGCATTATGAATTTTTTTTTTTTTTACTTAGGGGAAGAAGAGGCAAAAGTGACCTCAAAAACATATATAACTCCCCAAGATTTAGCATAATTTCATATGTCATCAAGGAGAGACATAAATAAATAAATATTTATATATATATATGTAAGAAACAGGTAGTGGTAGTCACCTTGAGCCGAACTCCAGCGAGTCCCCTGTTCTGAAAGACAACACAGCACCAGCCTGCCTCACTGACGGCCTGTACAAGTTTCCTTACATAGAATGTCTGACTATCACCAGTGAGGCCAGGTAAAAGGATCAGGATAGGGTCCCCTTTGGAATGGGTAAGGCATTTGTGCTTCCAGTCCAGTGCCACCTCTCCCCCATCATGTAAGACCAGGATCTCCCTGTTGTTTCAATAGACCATAATAAATACATGAAGCATCAGAACAAGCTTTGCACATTTTATGAGTTTCGGAAAGAATACCTTTCATAACTGATGGGTTCCTTTGTGTGGAATACAGGCATAGAGAGGATGGTATGTAGACGAGGCTCTATGCACCATGGTGTCACCCAATACCTTCTTGACAGGCAGGGGACACGGGATAAAAGCAAACTCTTAAGTTTCTTGTTCCCACAGTGAATATTAGGCACCTGAAATTCAAGACAAGCTATAGTAATTCAAGGAAAAATGTAACCTAGGCTTAACTGGAGTCAGAGCATCTTTAATGCAGCCTCATGGAAAATCATAAATTTAACCCAAAATGAATCAAGACTCTCACATTGCCAGTGAAATTGTAGAGATAAACACAGACAAAATATTCAAAGATCATTTCAAAAATAAGTGGTGAATGCCAGTTAGGACCTAGGCCTATAGGGCAAATACAGAAATAGTCCTTTAAAACTGACCTTGGCAACAAAGGAGAGATAATATGTGGAAAAGGCAATAGCAGAGGCAAGAGAAATGCCTACAATCACTGTCAGAGAATCATCCTTTACGATGTTGGAAAATGTCCAAGAAGCCATTCTGATGAAAGAAGCAGGTGTGGCAGCATGTGGTGCCAGTAGGCCTATTATGATTCCTTAGGTCCAGTGGATAAATCAGAAGATCTGACCATCAAGGCACAAACCTGCAATATACAATGATTATGTTAGTTCCAAATTATAGGCTTTAATATGGGTAAAGTTTAATTCAACTGGTTGTGTCTCTCCAATGTCCACAAAATTGTCATGGGCAAGTGGCATGTAAGGGTAGCTGAAACATATGCAGATGATAAAATACATTACCCCATGACCCAAAAGATAAATGTATGGATTGGTGTTTTCTTACTTCTCCTTTCTCATGCAACCTTTATAGTTATGATTAAATAGATCTCACTGTCACATGTTTTCCTTCCTGTACCATGAAATAGATATTTCCCTCCAATGGGAGCTGTGTTTTTGATGCCAGAAGTACATCTTTGCAAATAGGAATATTGAAAAATTATTCTCTATTCTCAAAGTCAAAACTCCTTGGGAGATCTGATGTGGTCCAATCTTTTACTCTGGGGATACACTTCCTGAGTTTGGACTCCACCCTTGAGCATCATTATTGTCCTACATAAAGATAGGATGCTATGAGCTCAATAGTCTCACATCCTGAATGGGCCAAGGTATACACTCTGCAATAAATAACTGACTTGATTGGCTTTGAACTCACATCCTCAGGCTGGGAAGCAAGGCTTACCAACCAAGCCACTCATTTCCATATCCTAATTGAGAAGGTTTAGCCCTTCCGGCAGCATGCCAAAATACATTTGGTTTACTTCATGGAGCCATGCGCATTATTTAGATTCCACTAGCATGGGCAGTGGCCTAACTATGCAAACTTAAAGGCTTACATGTGTATCAAGTGGAATGAGATCTTAACTTAGCAGGAAGAGAGTCCCTATCTACCACTCTCCTAACGAAGAAGTACTCATATGCGGTACCGTCCTTGCACGAATACGATGCATACAAAGGTTCGGCGAGCCCTTCCTAGTCCTACTTACATTCTCCAGCATTCTCCGTCGGGCCCCACCATGCAAGACTGCACAGGAGAACCTGCCCCTAGAGGCACATCACTGGGTGGAACCTGTACCGTCGATGGGAACGCACCCTCGGTTGCTTCTTCCCCTCGATGGACACCGTCCCAGTAAGAGCAAAATATTCGATTCAATCGGCCTAGACTCCTAAAGATAGCCGCTATTTCAGACGAAAGCCGGGATAGAAGCGGTGGAGGCCGCCATTCGAGGCGCATCGATTCCAGCGACATCGGTATTTATTTATCAATGGAAAACGATTTGACTGGTGCTGGCTCTTGGTTTTCTCACCTCCTGGCATTTCACGTGTCATGCCAAAAACAGTTAGGCTTATTTTCATATCGGCACTGACCTATGCCTAGCCGGACTTTTGGTCTACATGCACAGGGTGAAAAGTGAAGAATCTTAGGAATATCGTGAATGGATTATTTCTTGACAGTTTGAAATCGCTTTCCAACCTGACTGGATACTGAAGCGCCAAGTTATCTTAACCTACAAAATCTGGTACATGCGACTCAGAGTGACCCAATTTAACAAAGAGTACTCTTAATGACCCACTCTGGTCATTTCACATCACTGGTTGAATTTTAATCACTTAATTCGGGCAATTTAGGTCGACTTGGTTCACCATGGGTCAATTTTGGCCCATGTTAGATTTTGGGTTAGATTTTTTTATCACTGACATTGCTGTGGTTGGGTAGGTGGATCAGTTCCGAACAATCGAGGCATTAATACCTAAAATGTAATGCGTATTATTCCTAACGTTAGTTTCACCCCGTAGAGTTAAGCCGAGGGTGACGCGGCGAGTACTACTAATTTTAAAAAATCTCGTGGTCTTTAGGACATTTCTCCTCGATGACGTTCATATTGGAAGAGGGCTATTATCGCCCACATTTTCAAGAACGGTGAGAAATCCAGACTTGAATCTTCTTGACCTGTGGCATGCATGAACAGCAATAGAAGAAATCGTTCCCTCGCATTTCATTCATGAGTTGAACCTGCAGACAGCGGCGTGGCCAGTGCCTCCTCCACCCCTTCCATCATCGAGCTGCCTCGACGAGCTCCTTGTCGAGGGTGCCACTGCCGGCATGGCATGGAATCCAAGACAGAACAACTCTGAGCACAAAGACCTAGGGCAGCATACTATTAAATATTAGACTCGAGTAAACCAAATTGCTCAACCTCGGCCATACGTTTGAATGAGGCAAGTACTCGTACCAGCCAAGCACCTTGCTAAGAGGAGAATCGCGCTTAAAATAATAGAATACGGCTCCTGGTCCCCAGACCAGAAATCCCAGACACGTCTGCCTTCGATTTTGCTTTTCATATCGCCCAGAAAGTCGAAGGCACCTCATCGTGGTTTCAGTGCATCACTTCACAGGCGAGAGATTTCTCAGCAGATTGGAAAGGGGGTTTCGAATGGAAAAACCCTTCTGCCCGGGAATTCGCCGAGGTTGGAGTCTCGCAGCCGTTCGAGTCTCGTTCATGTGCTGCCACCATTCTTCCTATTCGTAACCAAAGAGACGATAATTCGATCATCTAAAATGTTATTGTTCCATGAATCTGTAAAACCGTGCCAGGGGTCGTTACCCGACACCAGGACGTCCGCGAGCCAGAAAAATGGCAATCGAATCTAAAGTTCACATCAGCGTAAGTGCAAAGTTCCTGGAGCATACAAATGTGAGCATCTCTTCGACGAACCTTACGATCCCGGCACGTAGAAACTTTTTCCTTTCTGAGAATCAAAAGAATGTATGGAATACACGGGCATTGCTTTCGATGGAAACCTGGATTGGGAGAAACGTGGAGGACCAAAGCCGATGGAGTCCTTCGCTTGGTCGAATGTGACCTGAATCGAGCCATTGCGGAGGCGAGAGTGTAAACATCCCTCGTCCTCGTTCGGCCTCATTCGTTCTCCCTCTGGGGTGACAAAGGACTGGAATGTAATTCTAGTCTCTTCGAGACAGCGGCGAGTCGTGTCTATTGTCTCCTCCTCCATATTTTTCCCCTTCCTCCATCGCATCCATTCTCTCCATCCCGCTCGCTCCATCCATCTCTATCAACCTCCATCGGCATTCCGTGCGAGAAAATCTCGGACACGAAGCCGACGCTTTTGGAATCGCTATAAACGTGGAAACCTTTTCCCCAAGGGGAGCATTCTTCCAATCATCTCTCTATTCAGCGACGATCGGTCCCCGGAGATCGGGATGTCGGCTTCCTAGCGTCGTTCTTGGGTTGTGACAAGCTCTTCGTTTACGTTCGCATCGACTTCATCGGGGGACTCCCCGACTCCTCCCCGCCGACCGATTCGAGTTTGACATCCATGCCATAAACGATTTGGATCTCGGCGTCGAGGGTACGAAAAGAAATTTGCCGACGACACCAAAATGGGTTTTTCCGTAAGAGGGGAGGCGGATGGGGTGAGAGCCGAGCGAGATTCGAGTCTCTCGGACGAGTGGAGCAAGAAACGGCTCGCGAGGTTTAATAAAAGTAAACGAAAAGTTGTCCACGTCGGTCGAAATCACGGTCGGTCTCTCGACGCGATCGGCGAGGACGAACCGGGGGAGGCAAACGAGAGAGATCTAGGTCTTTCCATCGACGAAGACCTCGAGTTTTCCTCGCACGCACGAGCGACGGTGGTCGAATGCAACAGGGTGCTAGGTTTCATTCGTCGTTCGGTTGCAAGTAGGACTTCGCGCGTTATTCTTCCGTTGCATGCGGCGCCGGTGCGACCCCAGTTGAAACATTGCATCCAGTTTTGGAGGCCTACAGATAGGGATGAATCGTTGGCGCTCGAGGGGGCACAGAGAAAGGCACTTCCGTACGAGAAGCGTCGAGAAATCCCGGGACTGTACGAGAGAGAGAGAAGGTTAAGGAGGGGCGATCTCATCCAGGATTTCAACATGATTAAAGAAATAGATGATGTGGAGTGTGGCAGGTTCTTCCAGTTCGATGGCAGCAAGAGAACGAGAGGTGATCGACTCGAGTTGCGTAAAGCGCAGGTGCGGCTCGGGTCGCGATGGGACTCTTTTAAAGAAGAAACCAGATGCTTTTATGGACGAGCAACTTTGAATTGGGGGACTAGGCAGTACGCAACTAGGATATGCGTAAAAAAAATCACAAAAATATTTAGCTTTAAGAGTATACCTACCCTAAAATTAAGGAACGCTCGACCTCGACACGCGACATCCAAACGGGTGTCATCGCCTCTTGTTGCCACTAAACCACGTTGAAGCTTGCGCCTTGAAAGCTGCTCCGAGGACTCGACAACCCGCCGAGCGCGTTTCGAAACAATTTGCCTATGGGAAATCCACGTCTGGATCGGGCTTTTCTTTATTTCAACGGGAATGAAGAAAAATTGTGAAATATGAAGGTATTCGATTTTGTCTTCGCCGCGAGGACGGATCGCAGTTCGTTTTATTATCTAGGAGGTGGGATCAAAAAGTTCTAGGACTTCATTTTTTATGACGCTGTGGTGACTCTTTCCGACTGCTGATGGTTATATCCTTTAAACTAGTCCTCTTCGGCATCTACACAAATTTTCCGGCGTTTCTTCAGCCGCCGGAAGCACTGCCGACACTCATCTTTCGGAATCACCAGCAGCGCTCGCGGCGCGTTTACAATTTTACCTCGAATGCCTAAAATCTCCTTCGTTTCGGCACATTCTTCAGCTTAGGGAACAAAAATAAGTTACTAGGAGCTTAATCCGGCGAGTTGGATGGATGATGAAGCACGGGATTGCGGAATAGGTCAGAAACTGCTGAAATTGCAAGAGAAAGGAAATCTCGGAACATTTAAAAGAGCATTACGAACGCGCCGCGAGCGCCGCTGGTGATTCCAAAAGATGAGTGTCGGCAGTGCTTCCGGCGGCTGAAGAAACGCCGGAAAATTTGTGTAGATGCCGAAGAGGACTAGTTTAAAGGATATAACCATCAGCAGTCGGAAAGAGTCACCACAGCGTCACCACAAAAAAAGTCCTAGAACTTTTTGATCACACCTCGTGGATTAGGATGGGTTCAGCGGGTGACATGGCTCTTCGAGGCGGAGAGGAATGTCCCAGGAACCTCACACT